GTGAAGAATAGGTATAGGTAGATAGAGGTAAAGGATAGGAGGATGAAATAGAAATAGTGTAACGAAAAGAAGGCTGTGAGCTCGAAGTGCCGAGCAGTAATCTTAAGAAAAAAGTCTGTGATAGTTACATAGTCGTATAGGATAAGTTTAGTGAGATAGGTTAGGTATGGATGAATGTGTGGTAAGGTATTTATTGTAAACCAAGTCCCCTTTTTGGCTGTAAATTGCTGAAGTGAATAAATATTCTATTCTATTCTACAAAAGAAAATGCAAAATATATATGTTTTTTATTGCTTTCTATGTATAAACCATTTTTCTCTAAAAATTTTAATTCATTTATTACATGCTTTAAAACAGCAGTATTTCCAAAATTACATCTGTCTGAACTATGGAATAGTGTAGAGATAAATATATTTTCTAAGCGACTACTATATTTTGATGAAATGGTTGGGATACTATAATATAAACATCCAATTTTGTAATAACCAGCGTGACTTCCAAGTGGATTACCAACTTCAAAATCATCGAAGTATAAAATTAATGGTAAAATTATCTTATTAGGAGTTGCAATTATTTTTATGGACGTCCACAGAGAACATTGTACCATATTTTTATAAAATCTGTATTGTGATTTTCCAAATCTTTCTGATAATTTAAAATTTGTTGTAAAACATTAGGAAGTTGAAAGAATTGTTGCAACTGTTCTTGGATAGAAACATAACAAGTTCTATTTTTTATTTTAAGTGAAACTCTATTTTGTCGTCTGGATTCGTCTGGTGAAGTGCCTATGATAGTCTGTAATGGTTTAATGAAATATTTTGAATTTTTAAAAAAAGATTTTCTTTTATATTCTGTATTCAAGTTATTAAAATATGTGGAAATAACTTTAAAGGAACCCACTACCTCATTTACATCACAATTTAAAATAATTTGTTCGAGTTGATTTAATAATTTTGAACAACAAAAATTTTGTATAATTTTTATAATCTTTTGAATGTCAGATTTAGTTAGAGATAAATTATCGTATAACTGAGCAATTAAATGTTGGATTTCTATATCAAGTTTTTTTAAAAACGACGGAATATCCTGTAATGCTTCTTTTACATTGTCTGTGAAAGATTCTGTCTCATCAAGACAATTATATTTTATATCTGAATTAGAATCGGAACTCTGCACAACCTGTATTGTATGTGTACTTGAAACAACATCTACAAGTTTTTTAAAAGATGTATCAAATCCATGAGAGAAAATGTGTTTTTTAAAACTGTCTTTTCTATGAAAAGATCGAAGACAATTATTGACATGGCAAGTAAAAATATTTTTTTTATGAATGTATTTTAAATTAAATATATATTTATCAATGTCATTAAAATTAATTTTGCAATAAGGACAGTTCATTTTTAAATATTGCAATCTCTTGGCTGTTTATATCAATCAACTTTACTGATCAAATTTTATGTTTTGAATTATATCTTGAATATAGGGATATTTTTTTAAACCTTTTCTTTGGCTGTTAAAGATCACTATTTCAATAGCTTCATAGATATGTTCGCTTTGTGGAGGATAGCAAATACACATAACATGAAAAATTTTGAAAAATATATCTAATGCCTTCAAACAGTTCTCGTATTCGTATTTTACTTCGTTAATGACAATATATATTTTATTAATCTCTGTGTAAGTTGGACCTTCAACTAAAAGAAAAGGTTGTAATTGTAAATCCCGTATTTTCGCTGGTTCTTTTTGTAAATTAATTTTAGCTTCAATGTCGGCTGCACTCTGTGATGGAATAGGAAACGTTCAGATATTCAGAAATTCGAAAGAACAAATTTGTAATTTTTTGTAGGTTTTAACAGTACTCACAGATGCATGTATTATAATCGAGTCTATACATTCTTGGGTCGAAAATTTCCAGTGTTTTTTTTTCCTATCTGAGTCTTCCCTTTGGTGGTAAAATGTGACACAGTAGTGTTATTTGTTTTACTACTTTGGAATCTAGAATAAAAGATTAACGTCTAATTATACACATAATTAAATATAATAATTTTAATTTTGATTGTCAAGATTTCGATCCAAATCTATCAAAAACTTTTAATTGGCATTCATAGTTAATTAAAAAATTACTAACAAATAGAAACTTGTGTAATAATTATTTTTATTGTACAAATTATAATCCTTATGGCAATTATAATATCCGGGTTAAATTAAGTTAAAATTTTTGTACAGTGAAAATACGATAAAGAGACTATATATTTCAAATTACAAAAAAAAATTAAAATTTATTTTAATTTTAGAATAAAACTTTTTCACAATATTTAATTTTTTTAATAAAGTAAAAAAAACTATAGCTTATATGAATCGTTCTTATCAACATATCAACATATACACTGGTCCAAAAAATTAAAGGATCACCTGTTCTAGCCTTTAAAAATAGGCAAACTTCAAGATAGGACAACTTCGTCAAAAATGATCATATCGAGATGTTCAAAAAAGCAATTTACAGCTTGAAATCTCTACTTTCCAAATCGCTACTTGAGAAAACGATCCTATTGATCTTTCATGGAATTACACGGATAGAAAAGGAGACCCGACAAATCTAAAATTTTTTTACGAACTTCGACAAGTTTCATGGCGCGATAAAAATTGCAAATGCAGTTTACTGCTTTCAAAAGAGTGAATCTTTACCTTCAATTTGCTTTTTTGTTGAGCGTTGTACGATTTTTTTTCACCGAGTTATTCAACATTGAAGCAAAAAGGAACCTTTTTTTCCTTTAATGTTGAATAACTCGGTGAAAAAAAATCGTACAACGCTAAAAAAAGCAAATTGAAGGTAAAGATTCACTCTTTCGAAAGCTGTAAACTGCATTTGCAATTTTTTATTCGCGCCATGGAACTTGTCGAAGTTCGTAAAAAATTTTGAGATTCGTCGGGTCTCCTTTTCTATCCGTGTAATTCCATGAAAGATCAGTAGGATCGTTTTCTTAAGTATCGATTTGGAAACTAGAGATTTCAAGCTGTAAAATGCTTTTTTGATCATCTCGATACGATCATTTTTGACTAAGTTACACTTTCTTGAATTTTG